ATGAGGTATGATAGAGAAGAATTAATAAAAGGAAGAGAAGAAGACAGCGTTGATAGGGAAAGCGGTAGCAACAAGGTCAGTCATACTGCGTCATAGACGACCCAGCCCCGCCCACGTAGATAAGGTGAAAGGTCACTCTCCCCTGAAAAGAACGAAAACCATTGTTATTTGGTGACACGAGAATTCATTGCAATGTAGTTATGTCGATTGGGATTACCAACGAGGTTCTCCGAAGGGCTTTTTTTTTTTTTTTTTTAGTTCCTCGTGTAACTAAAACGTCTGTAGTTTAAAACTCGGAATTTTAAGGAGGACATATTTATTATTATCTAAATGTCTTGAATCAGTTCTGATGTAGCTAGAAAAATGAAGTACCGTCTCTTATGGTTGCCAAACATAGTATTTGTGATCGTCATTCACAAATATTAATAAATAATAGATAAATTAAATTTATTCGATGTCGAGTAACATTAAATTTCATAGACATTCACCACCTGTAGATAGATTATTAAATTGTTCGAATCAGTGTTTAAAAATGTATCATTACAATTATTACTTATTCATTTACTTTTAATAAGTAAAAACGGGTACTTAATGGATATTTAATTTATTAATTTATTAAATTTAGAAAACATACCAATTTTCAACATGGTGTAAATAACTACTAAGTTTTAAAAAAAAGTGACTACATACACATATATGCTTTTTTCCCTTTCGCTAGAACAATTAAATTACGACTGAGTAGTGCGTTCGATCCTCACTGAGTGCCCCATCCTTTCGGCCTTGTGCCATACTTAGAAAATCACCATGTATAATGCTAGAAACGATGTATTGTAAATAATATTTTCGTATTTATCAGATGAAACGTTTATGTGATGGTAATAATAATGTTTTCTTTCTCTTCACATTAATAAAGAATACATTCTGCGTTTCTTTCTTTTTCTTTACTATTTTTCTCTTTTTTTTCTCCTTTTTGTTTTCTCCGCCTTTCTTCTCCGTTTTTTTCTCTCTCTTTTTTTGCTTTCTTTCTTTCTTTCTTTTTCGTTTTCTCTTTCTTCATTCGAATTTTCCGCTACACTCGAAGAACGAATATGATACAAGGTTTTTTTTTCACTGTATAGTGAGGAATCCAGCATTTGACTCAAGGTGGGACATCCAAAAATTGCCTGGTAGCTCGCTAGACATGAAAATTTGCTCTAAAAAAAATACCCAAACTGCTTAATGAAATAGGGAGGTGCTGCATGAATGACGGATGTCCGGTGACGATATTTACTTTCAAGCGAGATTATTTTCACTTCTGAAATGTTATATCTTAAAAATTAAAATCATTTATGAAAAATATGGAAATATTTACCTTCTACCAGAATACTTTCGTTTTCTTTTTAAAATTTTGTTTTATTTAATTCTTTTATCACCCAATATAGGATCGTTAATGCTTTAGTTTTCAATTTTCATTACGATGATGTTGCTAATGACAATGATGATAATGATGGTGACTATGTACCCAGTGTATTGCATGACTGGGTTTTGTGCAAAAATAGTATTGGCTGTGTCAGTGACAAGGCCAGAAAAAGATAAGATTTGTACACAGCGACAAACTTTCTCTCACCCTTCACACGCGCGCGCGGGCACACACATGCACACACGCACGCACACACACACAAAGACGTTTGTGTGTATAAAACAATATATACATTTTTTTATATCTCAGTACAATTTTAGGAAAATTTATGACAAAGTAATAAAATTCTTTCGTGTGACGCGTTTCGTCCTTTAGGACTTAATAGGACTTACTCAAGAAGTGATGTTTACGTTGATGTGATTACATATACGCATGAAGAAGAGGGGACGCTGAAATTTTAAATTTAAATTAATTTTTTTTTTTTTTTGCTCTCCGTAATGAGTCTGACCATAATTTTGATTAAAAAAAAAAATACTACTTTAATTAAAAGAGAAAGCAATTTACTAAAATAAAAGTGCATAGAAAGTACTTTAATTGCTACATCATCCACCGTAAATTTACGTCCAGGTTCTTACATTTAAACCTCATTTGGCAGAACTTCTGTTATCACAATGTGGGGTATTTCATAACAAATGTGATAAAAACATAAACAAGAAGACAAAAAAGTGAATGAAACAGGATTGACTATCCCAAACACATATTAAAAAAAAAAACCCAGAGATTTTAAAATTTCAGCATCCCCTCTTCTTCATGCGCATGTGTAACCACATCAACGTAAACATCACTTTAATCCAATGAAGTCCTAATTTTCGTCACGCGAAAAAAATTTTCCACTTTGTCATAGATTTTCCTAATATGTATAATACAAAACAAGTATATTTAGTTAGCAAGAATTCATCCGAACAACTTTTGTTAATTTCCACCAACAAATTCTCTCTGATTAAGTTTTATTGTATTTTTCCAATTTTCGAATAGCACACTGGGGATAAATCGTTCAAAGTTTAGATTTTGTTCTGTTTTCATCAAATATTTTGACACTCTCAGTCATTATCAAGAACTGGATGTTGTCAGTGTGGAAAACAAGATTTTGTTGGCTACATTCTGGCGTTATTTATTTATTTTGAGTGCTGAAATTCAAATTTATCCATAGTGACTTTTTGTGTAACGGTCAAATGGAGCTAGACCATACTGGAAAAACGCGTGTCAAATATTTATATGTATTATTATTATATTGTATGGATAATAGTACGAAATATAAACGCACATGTAATAGATAGATATAAACTATCTACCGCCATGGACTTCCTAAAGCAACTTTGATAAATGCATAAATAATTTAAACGTCTTCTTTGGTTTTATTTGAAATATAATAGCCTAAAGTTAGACTGTGTTAAAAGAAAAATAGGCATTTTTTAGGCATTTTCAAGCCATTGGCACTTTGACTTGTGACTCGTCGACTCATCGAACCGCCATTATAGACGAAAAATGTAAACAACAAATTTAAAAATCTCTTAAAAATCCAGTATTTGTTCTAGAGATGTGTTTCGAAGTCAGTAAATTTATGGTTTAATTAACTGGATTTTGTAAACGTAATGTTTACTTTTTGCTTAAAATATAATGTAAATAACGTTTATTTATACACAGTAATCTGTGATGTCATAGGTGAGAACTATATAGATCTTATGTAAACCCTATCTTAAAAAGCGTGCTAAAAATTAAATTAAGAAAAAATACGGAATAATAGCAGTGCAATAATCAAGAAATTGGTATTTATGTTTAAAAATAAATTATTTCTAACCTTATATAACCATTAGTTTAAGAATATAATTTTATATTCTATACGATTTTATGAAATTTAGTAGCATGAATAAATTTGTTTTTATAGTACATTAGAAGTATTTTTGTATAGTTTGAGTTTAATGCATTGCTTTTATTTTTTGATTATTTTATTACCTGTTTGATTACATAAAATATTTAATTGCACCTAACGGGTCTCTTTTTAATTATTATGAAATTAAGAGTTATTGAATGTATCAGTTATTGAAATATATCATATTACTTTTCCGATAGGGAAGAGTATTCAATCAAAGGTGATAATTCAGAAGTATTTCTTTTTTGAACATAAAATATTCTAACAGTTACTGAAATAAAAAAAAATAAATTCTTTTAAAAAAAGGTTCATGGCATTAAACTTTACATTTTTCGATTCTTCAAACATGTTTTTATTTATTAAAAAAAAACAAAACAAAAAAAAACTTGTTACGAACAGCAAGGGGGGGGGTGAATTTCAAAATTACACTGTAAATTTTTTCTGTTCAATCTGAAGGAAAATAATGTTTTATTAAAATATGCAACTACCAACTGCCAGAAAAAATGTTTTTTTGAGTTTTATTGAATTATTTTTGGTAAGAATCGGAAAGAATTATCAGTATGCTTACACTTGATATTATATATATTTTTTTTTTATTGAAATATCATCTTCCGGGATTTTTCTTTATATAACTAAAAATAATTTTCACGAACACGCCCAAATTAAAATGTACACACATAATGCTGAAAAGAAAGGAGGGGGGAAACAGACCCTAACAAAATATTTCCCCAGAGTTTTCTAATGTAACCCCTCTTTTAAAAAGCGGGCTAAAAAAATTAAATTTAAAAAAAAAATACGGAAGAACAGCAATGCAATAATAAAGAAATTGAATTTTTTATGTCTAAAAATAAATGATTTCTAACCTGTTCAGTATACAAGTAATTCATTAATGAATAAGTATTGAAAATTTCGTTTGAATCGGATAATAATTCCCTGATTTTTGACATTTTCTTTTTTTAAAATAGCTGGTAGCTATTTTTTGCTTTCATTTCGGAAAAAAAAAACATTCATTTTGGTGGACCTATACATAACATTTAGATGTAATGCACATATATGAGAGAATATGACAGGTACATATATTTAATTGCAATTAATACATAGGCACACAACTAATTTTCCGGAAGCGCTGACCGTCGAACGTACCGGATTATCCGTTTTGCCGAACCAACAAAAGTCGGGTAGCAACTATTCATTAGGACGTTTCAGGCCTATTAATGATTTATCTCTCGCATCTCTTTGTTTACTCGAGCTCCCCACAGAGCGGGATGTGGCACAAGGCCGGTTTAAAGTGGGTTTTTCCGAGCCCGTAGCCCCGGGCAAAAATTCCTCGTAGATCTAGTATTCACGAGGTCGGGTTTGTCTACCTCCCCTAACAAGATTCTGCCCTTCGGCATAGCCTCGTCTGGGTTCCTCTCTGCCTGAAGGCAGACAGTTCGATAAGAGTTTAACGCGCGGCTAAGACCTAATGCTAACTCTCTCGCCTCTCTACACCATCAACTACTAGGAGAAACTTATATTATGTGTAACACCACCTGTGACCACTCATCACCCCCTCACCCATCTCCAGGTAGGTCTTGCGACCTGTCAACCCAGAAGCACCACCACATATTGAGGACTTTTGTCACTATGCCTAATTGCGTCTATAGCCAACTGGCTAAGCCTGCCGCGCAGCTTACAGCACCCAATATTCCCCAGCGGTCACCCATCTGAGTATTGGCCTGGCGAAACGTTGCTTAACTTCGGTAATCGGCAGAGGAATCAATGTTTCAACGTGATATTGCTGTAAGCACTTGTGACTCCATGGTGAATTAATTTGGTGAAATCATTGTTGTTTCCGGATTAAAAGAGGTAGTTTCAATAATTGTGGCAAATTTTTTTAAAAAGTACAATTTATCATTGCAGCAAAGATTTTTGTACGTAAAGATGTGTAAAGATTTTGTGATTTTTTTTTTCATTTCATGGTAAACATTTATTTAAAACGTTCAGTTAATAAGCATTTTTATATAGCGAGAAATATACAGGGTGCGGCAAAAGTAACGCCCTTGCGTTATATACTTTATTGAACAAAAATAAATTACAGCAGTTTAAGAAAATTTATAAGTATTGTCACATCAAAACCACATGATTTGTTATGGTTAAAAAAAACTATTTAATATATTCAAAATGCCACCCTTCAATGCTGAAATCTCTCAGCAACACTTCTACAATTTTCTACATTAAACTCAGAAATTTTATCAGAAGTTGCATGGATTGCATTCAGGAATTTTTTTCGTTTTGACCCTGTATGCAAAATCTTTCAGGACACCCAACAAGAAAAAATCTGGTGGTGTTATGTCTATTCATTTTTGGTCAATAAAAGGTAATAAATCAAAAAAGAACATTACTTTTCCCGTATCCTGCATATCCCCCCTCTCTCTCTTATAACCTGTTGTAACATACCTACGGACGATAATGGGTGTGCCCCCATTCACATAAATACAGTAGTAAATACTGTATGTTGATATACAGTTGGAGATTCGTCTCCAGCTGTGCTGGTCAAACTCTCTGCCTCCGGGCAGAGAGGATCCCCAGACGAGACTATGTCGAAGGGCAGAGTCTCGTTTCGGGAAACAGCTACCCGACACGGTTTTATACGGGGTATACGGGGAATTTTTGGTCGAACCTATGGGCTCGGATACCCCACATTAAATTCGGTCTTGTGCCACACCTGACCGCGTGGGGCGGTTGGTAGATATCCTGCAGTTGGAGATTCGTTGTAGAATTCACTTGACTCACTTCTAGCAGTTGACTACTACTTCTACACGCCTCTGGCGAATCTTATGTGTGTTGTTCTTGTCCTATGTATTATCGATCATTACCAACCTTCGTGTGATTATTCTATTCAGTAACCTTCTCTAGGTTACAACATAACCATTTCAGCTCTAACAAAGTAATAAAGCCGCTATGACGCAAGGGGTTACCGAGTGTGAAGGAATATGGGAAAAAGGAAATACATTATTATTTTAGTAAATAAATATAATTACTCATTTTACAGAAGGAAGCGAGGTACAAACATATTGGTTTAGAATAATCCTTCATGTAGTTTCAGTTGTCTATGATTTTTTTAATCTCTAGCCGCTTCTCTTTTTTCTTTAGGTAAAAGGAGTCGATTGTTAAAGACTTGTGCAGACGAGCGCAGTATTTTTGAGTTGACTGACCACGTTCTGCTGCATTTATCTGTTTTCAGGATATATAAACGCGAAAGAGCTTTTTGAATTTATTCAAACCAACAGCGATTGCTTGAAACTGTTCTCTTTATACCTCGTGATCTATTTTCTGCTCCATTCATGTCCACAAACTTTTAATCTTGGCGGATTTTCCCTGGAGCCTGCCATTTGTATATCTATCTATCTATCTATCTATCTATCTATCTATCTCGTCGTCGTTGGCGAGTTGCACATCAATATTTCCTTACGTGTGAAATGTGTTCTATTTTAGATTTGAAGAGACGTCCGCATCCACCGTATGGTAGCGTAGAAGGGTTCAGGGAATGGAAAGCGCTGGCTTTTCTTTGGGCTCTCTTTGTCTCTTCTATTTATCATCTGGTGCTTTCGAAGGATGTTGTTTTTTTGTTTTTGTTTTTTTCATGGACCGCTCTTCTCCAATTGGTTCTTTCTACAGCCTCATTCTTCTAAATCGATTTCTGTTCTCAACAAGGTGTTTTTGAATCGACGACGTGGGGCTCCACCTGGTCTCTTGCCAGATGCGAGCTCCGAGAACGGGATTTGTTTGGGTATGCCGATATCTGGCATTCGGGCAATATGTCCGGCTCATCGAAGTCGGTGGCTATCGGTAGACGCCTGTTATTAGCATGGCTATTTAAATCTTTTTCTTTTTTAGGACAACAAATATATGGAATATATTTAAGCTGTATATTTTGCTAAATTATTTAATTCTGTAGAATATTTAAAAAATGCAACTTGTTCACCATATCAGTTACCGTACTTCCCGTATGCTAAGACGTTACAAGTGGTAAGATGCGCCCTATAATTAGCTAGGTATTTTTTAGAAAAATAGTTTACCGTAATAACAAGTCCAAGTCGCCACTGTACGGTGAAAACTCTTTCTGTGACAACAAATTATCACATTTTGGAGCTATTATTAAATATGTATTATTATTAATTAGATTAGGCAGTATTCCTCATAAACAAACATGGCGGATAGTAGATACTGGGAATTGACAGTAAATTTGGAATTAACGGTAGCCCTATTGACTTAACTGATTTGTTTCAATCGTACACAAAGTCCGGTAATAAGGCTGGTATTCTTGGTGTACATATGAAACATAACTGTCAGTCTGTATTACGTGGCTAGGGTTGCGGTTTGGGAAGATACCGTTGGGCATGCCAAGATGAATGGAAGACTTAAGCACCGGTAGAAAGCTGTCTACTGGTTATCATCAATACTCGAAACAAACAAACAGTATCTATATGATACTAACGTGATATACGGTATTTATTACATATGAATAACAATTCTAGGCTTATATTCTATGTCTGGGGTTCGTGATTGTTTGTATCACGTGACTGGGGTTCGTGAGGGTTAGCAAACTCTTCTCTACAACTTGACATTTCAGTGCTAGGAAAAAATGTATTTGACGATTTAATAGCTTACCGTACTAACAAGTCCAAGTCGCCAACTCTACAGTGACAACTCTTTCTGTGACAACAAATTATCACATTTTGGAGCTATTATTAAATATTTATTGTTATTATTAATTAGGTTAGGCACCGTTCACCATAAACAAACATGGTGGCTAGTAGGTACTGGGAACTGACACTATATTTGGAATTAACGGTAGGCCTATTGACTTAACTGATTTGTTTCAATCGTACAAAGTCCGGTAATAAAGCTGGTATTCTTAGTGTACATATGAAACATAACTGTCTATTATTCTGAGATGAGGTATTATGTATATTATTTACATTATTCGAACTATTGTCCTCATCTTTGTTGTCATATTTATCACAACGTTTCGGCCGTTGTATGCTCCGGCCTTATTCAGGTGGTTGGAATGTCGAACTAAACCCTTTATTTTGCTCGCTGGGGTAGACTGTTCTAGTTCCACGTGCCATGTCTAATGGATGTCAGTTATCAGTTATCTCCTGTTAATGCCCTTCTCCAAGTTCTCCATCGCTTTAACCAGGTATTGAACTCACACACTTTGGGTCTTGTCACTGGATTTAACTAACTAAAATTGCAATATGAGCACTGGTAAAAAAATGGTTGCTGAAGACATTAGGTTTATAATACCCAGAAATTCATACACAGATGTCCTCAAGGACACATGGCAAAGTGGATAAAGGCGTTAGTCTACTCCAGCGAGCGAAATAAAGGGTTCAGTTCGACACTCCAACCACCTGAATAAGGCCGGAGCGTACAACGGCCGAAACATTGTGATAAATATGGCAACAAAGATGGGGACAATAGTCCGAATAATGTAAATAATGAAATCTAACTGTCAGCCTATATTATGTGGCTAGGGTTGCGGTTTGAGAAGATACCGTCTGGTATGCCAAGATGAATGAAACACTTACAGCACCGGTAGAAAGCTGTCTACTGGGTATCATCAATACTCGAAACAAACAGTATCTATGATATGATACTAACGGGATATACGGTATTTATGACATATGAATAACAATTCTAGGCTTATATTCTATGTCTGGGTTTCGTGACTGCTAATATCTCGTGACTGGAGTTAGAGTTAAGGTTAGCAAAGTCTTTTCTCCAACTTGACCTTTCAGTGCTAAGACGCAGGGTGATTTTTGTGGGTTTTTTTCAGGAAAAAAGTGTGTCTTAAAAATACGGTATGTCGAACGTCCTTCCTTTCTTATGACAAATTCTGATATTCATTTTTAACTTCTACTAAAAATCTTTGGTGCTTTTAAAATATCTAAGGTCAAATTTTTCATTTCAAAAGTTTGACAATTTATTATTGTCAAATGACCCACTTGCTTATATTGAAAAAGTAAAAATTAAATAAAAAAAAAAGTTTCTTTTCGTTTCTCTAGCCTCCTGTTTTTTTCATTTTCTACATTTTCTTGCTCCCATCCTTATTACTACTTTCTTTCTTTCTTTCTTTCTTTCTTTCTTTCTTTCTTTGTTTCTTTGTTTCTTTCCACCCCCTCTCAAAACCATATTACGCTGAACCATTTTTATTTTTTTGCGATGTAGGACGATTGATCAAAGTACACAACTTTATAACAAATGAAGCGTTGTTAATGACAAAAGTGTTTCTAGAAAGACTGATGTCATAAACAAATATTTGGCTCATTATTTCACTCAAATGATTTTAATTTCTTTCTGACAATCAAAGAATGCTACATTTATGCAACGAACTATTAGGTCAAAGGATAATGGCTGCCCTGTTCTGTACCCAGATTATAATTAAAACTATAACTTCTTTCTCATGACCACATTTTCTTTATCCTCCCCCTATTTTTAGCTGATTATTATTACATTGCTGTCATCATTACCCGTGTCTGTAAGTAGTTTATTATTTCTATAGATAGATAGATAGATAGATAGATAGATAGATAGGAATTAACTGAGATAGCTTCGAATAGGCATAGATATGAACAGAGGTAGCTAGGTCGATAGATAGATAGATATGGATAGAATGAGATAGATATATATGAACAGACTAAGAGAGATAGATAGGTAGGTTGATTATTATTTTGAGACCGGAACTACCTACACAATAGACTCTTCCAGATCTATATTAAGTATGCGGCACAACACT